CTCAGTGAAGTGATTCCTGTTAGTCTTCGAAGGACGTAAACAAATCTGTTTATTCTTTTACATAAATTATCCACGTGGCATGTAAAGTTTAAAGTTTTGTTTAGCGATATTCCTAAAAATGGCGCACTGTTAACGCTATCTAGAATTTCGTTACTATAATTTATATTCATTTTGATTTCCTTACGTCCTTTTACACCAAATTGTATGTATTTTGTCTTAGAAAGATTAACATTTAAATTATTCATATTTAGCCAATTAATTACATTATTGATAGTTTTATTAATTTCATATTCATACAAATTCAACATGTCAGGATTACATTTAATAATTATAGAAAGGTCGTCAGCAAACATAATACACTTATGCCTAATAGTAGGTGGCAAGTCATTTATATAAAATAAGAATAATAATGGTCCCAATACACTACCTTGGGGTACCCCAAATTTATTGTGTTTGTAGGTAGACCTGTAAGTAGAGTTGTCGTCTGATCCAGCTATTTCAACACATTGATACCTATTTTCAAGATAAGTTCTAAGCCACTTTAATGCGTTTCCACGCACACCATATCTTTCCAACTTGTCTAACAATACGTCATGAACCACTCGGTCGAAAGCTTTGGACATGTCAAAAAATACCACAGTAGCATAATCTTTTGCATCAAGACCAAGAGTAACTTCATGTACAAGATTGAAACAGGCAAGCGTAGTTGATTTCCCTTTTTGGAAACCGTATTGTTCTGGCTTTATTATATTAAATTTTACACAAAATTTCATCAATCTAACTTGCATGGCCTTTTCAAATATTTTGGATAAAATAGGTATCAGCGTTATAGGACGATAATTTCCGATATCGACTGCTCTAAGGAACAACGATATAAATAAAACATACATAAATATCATCAAAAACATCTATTCCAAAAGCGTAAGCAGAGTAAAACTGGAAAGACAAGGAGAAGAGTTCATAATTGGAAGAGGAGTGCGGCAGGGAGACCCGCTCTCTCCTAAACTGTTCATAGCTGTGCTGGAGGACATTTTCAAGAATATTGATTGGAAAAATAGAGGCATATGGATAGATAATAATAAATTGACACACCTAAGGTTTGCAGATGACATAGTTCTATTCAGTGAATCAGCTACAGACTTAGAGAAAATGTTGCAAAGTGTGAACTATGAAAGTATAAAAATCGGCTTACACATGAACGCTTCTAAAACTAAAATCATGTCAAACAGTCCTAGGAAAACAATAAAAATAGAGGAAAAACCTATAGAATATGTAGATGACTATGTATACCTAGGCAAATTGGTGTCATTCGATACAAACAGCAACGAAAACGAACTAGACAGACGAATAGGTGTAACATGGAAGAAATACTGGGCACAAAAAGAAATCTTAAAAGGGAATTATAACTTAAATATAAAAAAGACAATAATGGATTCCTGCATTCTCCCAAGCCTAACTTATGCTAGCCAGACATGGGTCTTTACGGAAAGAGTAAAAAACAAAATCTCCTCTTGTCAACACGCAATGGAGAGAAGGATCTTAAAACTAAGAAGAATACAAAAGACTAGAAACACAGACATCCGTATGAAAACTAAATTATCAGATGCTCTTAAATTTAGCCTAAAACAGAAGTGGAACTGGGCAGGTCATTTGGCAAGATATAAAGATAAGAGGTGGACCTATCAAACAACAAAATGGCAAGGCCCAAAAGGCAAAAGAAACGTAGGACGGCCGAAGAAAAGATGGGCCGATGACATAACAAACAAGGCAGGGAAAAATTGGATGCACATAGCCAGCGACAGGGAAAGGTGGAAAAAGATGGAGGAGGCTTTTACCCAAGTGGGGCCACAAACAAGAGATACAGATTAATTGAATCAAACTGTAAAAATGTGGAATATAAAGCTATAATAATAATAAAAAATTGTGTCACCATAAATGTTACATTACAAACACCAGTAACTTTTAATTATTGTGTTGACCTATAAATACAGATTTTTTTAAAATCTACAATATGCACCAGCTCTCACAATGCTGATCTATACTTAAACAGATAAAATATCCAAAATGTTATCTCCTAAGTTTGTTACTGATCTGTTGCAAGAGAAATAAATAAATTACTTATTATATTTCTGATTTACCTTCTTCTCCGGTGGGCTGATCTTCGCCCTCAGCTAACGCTGCCCCAGGATCTGCATCTAAAGCGTCACTGCTACTTGTTGGTGCACCTCCATTAGACACTGTTCAGGTTTAAATAATGATCAATTTTTTTGTCAGTTGTTTTTGACACCAAAGCATAAATTATGCAAATATCTAGATCTATTAAAGGACAATGACCAAAAGTGGTCCAAATGTCCACCACCAATGAGACCTATATTGGCTTATAGTCCATTAAATAGAGATTAACTTTCAGTATGGGACGAAAAAAAATAAGCTGTCAGTAAAAAGTTATGACTGTTTGAAAAATTGTAGTAGTTTACGCGCTAATCTCAGAAACTACTGGTCTGATTTGAAAAATTCATTTTGTTATGGATAGCTCAGGGTCATTCCATCGTTTCGGGTGTTACGTTCGTACACACATATTCAACAATTTCATGTATTTTGAAATAGTATTTTAATAATGTTAGTGCCTTAATCTGTCCGTTTTTAGTTGTTTTATTTAAATAATAAAGTTTGTACAGCTTAGAATGTAGGATAACGAAAATATGAGTCGAAAAGTGTGCGTTTCGGGCGTTACGAGATTTTGCCTCTATGTTCTGACTGTTGCTGCATTTACTCGAAATTTAGCGAATTTTCTTAAGGAATCATACCTAAAACTTACAGGACTTCTAAAGTATGAAATTTACAAACCATGTAACATACAATCACTGTTAAATAAAACGTTTTACTACTTTTTTATAAATTTTTTCTTTGTTTCGGGTGTTACAATGGTTCTGTTTCGGGTGTTACGAGTACGAAAATTCAACGCGTTTTATCAATAAAATCGGTGTTTTATTAGTCTCTAGGTACTACAAAATAAGGAGTACAACAAATAAACACAAATAGAGCGAATTCTGGTTTGAAATTACGAAGCAGCTTTTTTTAAAAAATATACAAAGTTCAAGTTTAATTTTTCCTCAGAATATAGCTTTTTCTATTGTTTTTAGCTTGAAATAGCATTACTTTAATTTCTAATTACGATATTTATTGGAAATGTCGAACATCGACACTTTTTAGCAATACCTTAATTTTAGTGTTAAGTCGACATTTCAAAAAAGTCTTCAATTGAGAAATATGACTCCTTTTCCGATGCCAGCGCTAGTGGGAGGTCAAAGGACCCTCACAGTAATACTTTTTCACTTCTCCAAGCAATATACACACAATATCGACATATAAATAAAAATGTAATACCCGAAACGTTTCGGGTGTTACAGTTTTTAATCAAGAAAGAAACATACTAAATTAGTATCATGCTCAGATATTAGTTAGTATTTGAAATCATTACTACCATGACCTTACTTTTACCAAATATTGTTACCCTCATCCATTTGTAAGGTACAATAATAAAACAAATACCTGTTTTTCTGTTTCGGGTGTTACATCGCCGAAGTAACAAGAAAATACACTTAAAACTTGATGATTATAAATTTTTTTGGGACTATGACGCTATCTACCAATACTATGATAAATACCCTCGAATCATATAGTGGCAAAACGGTTCACATATTGATAGTTTTTTTTTAATCGTATTACTAATAATTAGAGAGAAAATGATCATTCAGACAGTTGACTTAAGTATAGACTTTGAAGACTAATAACTTAAAAATTACTTGTTTCTTTCAGATTTTTTTTGTTGCACATTATAATTTGGAATGTATACTTTCAAAATTCATCAGATTTAATGCGAAAAGAACATATTTAGTTTTTCACCCTCGGTAACATTTGTCATGGAATGACCCCTCATTTATCAAGGATGATTTTAGGATAAATAACATCACCCTACGACCAATAGGGGCGGAGCAGTAAAGACAAATGTTGTAATAATGGGAAATATTATTCAAACAATTTTCACGCGTACAAAGTCGTAGGCACAGCTAGTATAATATTTGATAAAATTCATCTATAACCCCACGCCACATGCGACATGACATAATATGCGTAGATTAGTCCAAAATGTGCAATGGATAGAATGATATCAAGAACATTTTTCGGATGAAAACGTAAAAAACAGACTTTTCATTCAGTCATAACTTTTTACTGACAGCATATTTTTGATTGCGGTTTGGTTATAATGAATCAGTATTTAGTAGACTATTTCACTACATAGGTCTCGTTAGTGGTGGACATTTGGACCACACTCCATACATTTTTGGTCATTGTCCTTTCAATATCTGAATGTTTTAACATGATAATTATGTCTGTGACACAGCTTATATGGTTCTCTAACTAGTCCTACTCTGTCAACCAATTGATTCCTATTGAAAAAGACCCAAAACTTATTTTGTTCTTGTCAACTAAACCACGTGAAATGCATATAGTAGGTAAGCTATAGAAAGTAATGTAGTACGGATATATGATATATACCTGACTCTTCAGCTGTAGCGGCTTCAGATTCCTGACTTGTAACATTATTTTCAGATAATTCAGCAACACTATCTACTGCTTGGCTTTCGGCTAATGGAGACACTTCCGCGCCATCAGGTATATCACCATGTAATCCTGAATCCGACTCCATATTAGAGAATAACAACAGTATACAATTAATCAACACTGATAATCATTGAAATCTAACACAGGATTTTAACGAAACAGGCATTACTTTATCAAAAATAGTAAAAAATACAATTTTTTTGACAATACTTGAAGACCATAGTGCCAACTTGGCGTCAGATCTACTTTTTTTTAACGTTTGACGCTTGAAAGCAATGACATAAAAGTTTACGAAGTTCGTTCTAAACTTATTTCAAATCTGTGATAAATGATAAATGTCACTAAAATCAACTATCACTGTCAAAAATGTCAGTTCAGCAGTCAAATCTGTCAATACAAAATTGTATGATTGTACGAATTTTTCGTAATTTTGTAAATTTTTGGAATGTTATTGTGCCTAGAAAAGTAGAAATTCACAATTTGTTTATTCATTATTCATGCTGTTGTGTTACATAATTTTATAACTGCATAGAAAGGCATCACCAATCACTATGTCTAACTCGAATACCGAAAAGCCTGGAGAAGGAATTCGATCCCTAAAATCTAGCACTGCTTTCAGAGTTATAAACTTTGAATTATATGCCAAACCTGTAAGTATCTTTATCTTGGTTAAATTTGTATACTATGTAGATTATTTCAGTCATATTTAACGATAGACCAGTATGGGAAACCTCCCAATGCCATGCATCCATACTTATCTTATAACCCCACGTAACCCTGCAACCCTGTCGCAAACCCCTGGGGATTCACATTCGTAAATAGGTATTATCATAATAAAAAATATTTACTTCTTACATTTTATACTTGTCTAATCTTTTGTTTCAGAATATAGTAATCATGAGCATAGGACTTACATGTTTTGGACTTACTTTGGGATATATTGCATACATGAGGAGCAAATATGAGTCCATGGGATATTATACAGCTGTAGACAAAGATGGAAAGGAGATATTTGAAAAAAAGAAATCAAAATGGGATTAAAGCCTATAATGTATAATAGTTAACTTATAGCACTTATAGTTAATTAATAATATTGTGTACATAGAAGTTAATAATTAAATACAAATTTTCTGTTAACATTTTTTATTACTACATACCTACCTACCTTTCATGAGACAGTGACACCATTGGTGGATCCTGCTTCCTACTAATCTATATATATAAAAATGAAACCCGTTTCGCGTTGTCACGGCATCACGTGTGAACGGCTGAACCGATTTCGATAATTCTTTTTTTTAAATGTTTGTGGAAGTCCAAGGATGGTTCTTACGGAAAAAAATATTAAGAAAATCTCTACGCTAAGGCGGTACGAAGTTCGCCGGGTCAGCTAGTATTATTTAAAATGCGATAGTTTGTATGGATTTTTTTTATTTGTTGGCCTTTTTTGTGTATTTTATGTATTTTTTTAGTATCGCCTGTTATTTAGAATTATTACTGTTTTTATTTTATCAGAATATACCTCTTTGTTTAAAAGTTATTACGTTTTCTTTACAATAAGTAATAAATTGGAAGAAAAAAATTCTATAAATTTTTTTAAAAAAATCTCAAAAATCTCTTTTTTGTCGATAAAAATAGGTCTAGTTTCATCTATTTTCATATTATTGTGCACTTTAACGTGACTCACACTGTATAGGCTTAGATTAATAAAGCCTAGATAGATAGTCATACCTACTTGAAGCACAAACTATGTATCACTATCTCGCTCTCTGTGGGCAGACTCTCTCTTTCTAAATAAACAAAAAGTATAAATATGCTCAAATTCAATGAAACTCAATGTAAAATCTTTATTTCTTGACATAGGTATCATTAAATGATAGTGTAAATACTGGTAAAACGTTTAAGGAAGAAATTACTGTAAAAAATGTTTACAATTATTAAATGTCGGAAATCACGAAATAAACAATGGCATGTATTTAAATGATCTTTTTAAATTAGCAAAAACGGCAAATAAAAAAATCTAAATGGTCATCTATTTTAATGATTGATCCTCTTTCTTTGAGACATAAAATAAATAAAATCGATCGATATTTTAACCTCTTTTGAACTACGCAAAAAAAATTTGAGATGTAAAAATTATATCTGATCGTTACTTGTTGGTCCTCAAAAATAAAAGAAATGAGCACCAAATATTCAATATTGTGATACTTTTTTAAATAATTCGATTTGTAAAAATTATTTTTTGGTCTATATCAAATAATCTTCAAAATAATTATGTCATGGTACTTATTTTTATTAAGTTGTAGTCAAAGGATGGAAACTATTTAAAGGCACTTGATGTTCAAAGATTTTTTTTTATCAAAAAAGCATACTTAACACGTTCACACTGCGTGATCGGGTCGAATTGACCTTATATGCTTACCTTAGGTGCTGGATGCGTTGGTGCGGGATGGATATATTCGGTCTTTTCAATAGTACGAAAGATAAATATTGTTTTGCAATTGTTTCGTCAAACACAGTAAATATTTGGAAAAAAAAAAACTTATCAGGTCCTTACGACCCGATGTCGCACTAAAAGTAAACAAATATCGTTTAGTGCTTTTATCGTGTCTAATCGACCCGTTGACAGATGACTTTATGGTCACTGATCACGGTCGAGATCGGTATACTAAGAGAAAATCAACCTTGCGATTTGAAAAAAATAAAGAGGTAAAAATTATGATGTCGGGTTCAGGGATGTCAGAAGTAAGAAATTATTTTACATAGCGCCTCTAGTCCCAAACTAAGCAAAGCTTGTAATTTAAACAAACATGGCAATGTACCATTCTGCTTGCTTATTGGCCGCTAAGCCCTTGGCCAACTCAGTAACCAATGACGGACGATTGTCACTCAACCACAAAGTACCGCGTAAATTAAAAGATATTTTTTAATTAAAAATATTAACCAATAATATTTTTTGTTAGATCAAATATATTTTAAAGTTAAGTTATACATAGATCGAAATGTATTTATTCGGTGATCAATATTAAAAGGCAAACTTGATATAAAAATCATCAAATTAACAAAATTAAAGATCAATAATTAAAAAAGAGGATCAAATATTATTTTTGTTTACCAAATATTAAAAGAGTATGTTAAACATAAATATTATGTTACCTGAAATGAAGATCATTCATAATTTATCCGTAGATCAACTAATATTGACCCAATAATTAATATAAGGATAAAATATAATAAAAAACATCATTTATTTTTAAAAGTGCACATACAAAAAAGATCAATTAGTTTTTAGAGGATCAAATAATATTGTCCCATAAACAATTACGCGTGGAATCTTATGTTACTTCCAGGACACCACGTACTACCGCAAGACCGCAACCACGCACTACAAAATTTTGCACCATTTCTTGTGATAAGACAATGATTATTTCCTGTAAACAATCTCAAACGAAATTAACTGCATAGTAAACAACCGCCATGATGGGCCGGATTGGGACGATGTTGCCACATGGTACCGATTCCCCAGGAATTGGGAATGTAATTCCCTGATTCGCCAACATTTTAAACCTAAACGGCCGACAATTTTGTGATTTTTAATTCAACTAGGTAATCGTAGTTCAAATATTTAATTATTTAACTTCTGATTTGGTTAGTGAATTGGCTATTTCGAAGAATTTACTAAAAAATTTAAATCGGGAGATAGCAATTCTACAGTCCACACTAAAAAGAGAGGTCGGCCCACAGAGAGCGAGATAGAAATAAGTAGTGTACGTTTGGTGTAGTGGTTCAGAACGGACTACCATGCCGAGAGGTCCCGGGTTCGATTCCCGGCCGGGCAGAAATTGAAATGATGAATTTTAATTTCTGTGACGGGTCTGGGTGTGACTATGTATAATATTTATGTATTTAAAAAAAAAAGTATATAAGTAGTATATCCGTTCAGCTAGCACCCATAACACAAGCATTAAGTTGCTTACTTTGGGGCTAGCTGGCGCTGTGTGAAATTGTCCAAAGATTTATTTATTTAGATTTAGGTAGGTATTTGACTCAAGTTTTTGTTCCAAGTCTGGCCTCCATTTTTATCTTTAGCTTCATGGATGCAGCATGTGAAAAAATTTGTATGAAGCCGAGCGTGCCACTTTTTAAACGTCATTAGTGTCATTTTAGCGAATTTTAGTGATTGTCGAAACGTAAAAATAATCGTATCATCGTACTTCATTCGCAAAGTAATAATAAAACTGATAATTTGTTAAATACAAAACCAAAAACATCTTTATTTACCTTTTTAAAATAAATTAATTCTTACAAATCGTCAAATCTCGTTATTTTTTAACCCTACCAGAGTTTCAAGACATAAATTTGTCAAGTACATGAATACATGGATTAGTGTGTGTCTTATTGTTATGAGTAAGTACGGTTCCTTGGGATCAGTATGAGTGCACCACATACAGGGACCATGGTTTTAACTCTTAAGAGTACATCGCAGGATATGTATTAAAAACAATGCTACTTTATACTTCTTTTACTGCTACTTTATTCTAATTAATTATTTGTTACTTGTGCTGTTAATTACAATTCTCAATCCGTAAATAATTTCTTCTTTCTACCGTGTTCGTACTACTGTCCTCGTAAAATCATCGTAACCGATTGTTGTAATCGGTGTACATGAACATCACTCGACCATGTATGTCCATTTGGACATATCGGAATGGCACGCTCTGCTTTGACGATCACTCTAATCCATATCTGTGGCTGGTGCTCTTATCTGTGTGTGCCTGTGCTGCCCCCTCGTATTTTATCATTATTAGTGATTTCTGTCATCCTTATCGGAGTAACATTAAGGTTCATTTTAAAAATACTAACAAACGTCATCATATGATTAATGTCGGACGTCGGTTGATTGTTGTTGTTGGTTGTCGGTTGTCAACAAACAAAAACACTGGAAAGAAATATACTTAATTTGTATTTACTTACCTATCTTTTATACTTATTATTTTTTCTTTAAATAATAAACTTTAGGTGCTTATGGTTGGTATTTTAAAATTTAATGCAAAGTTTGTAGGGTAGTGATAAGATAACAAATCAGTACACTTAATATTAAGTTTATCAGTAAATGATCGAGTTTATGGTATAGAGATTGTGTATTCGATGAGGACAACTCATATTTTACGTAAGTGTTAATGTTATAACTTAACTTAATGTCTCAGTAAAGAATGAACTAGATGGCCCCTTCAAAAAGCTCCCATGTCGAGTACATAATTAGAGTTTGTCCTTGAGACTTCGTAGAAAAACTTTATCCTTATTTTTGTCTTTGACCTTGGGACTTCGTAGAAAAACTTGATCGTTAGTTTTGTTTGCCGGCTTATTGTATGAATCACAAAAATCGAAGCACGAGTGTGCGCCGCGCGCCGTGGCGTGGCACTTTGGTAAATGATGTCATCAGCTAGCCTCGGCCGTACTGAGCTGTTTTAGTTGTTTGTTTCCGTTTGCGACCGGCGGCTGGGATTACCGGCGCATCAGAAATATTAAATTTGTTTCAGATATCCTATTTTTAGTGTACCACTCTATCAGTTTCACTGCAGCCATGGATGCAAAACAATTAGCCTCATCTATTGCACAATTCTCTGCCAAGTTCTGTAATGTAAGTATTTTTCAATTAATTATTAGATATCTTACAGTACTTATTGCATAAATATGTATTTTTTTTGTACCCACCTTTATAAACTTTCAAAACTAAAACGAAAATGAGAATCAGTTCACAATAATCATGATAATTTATTATAATTTGTTTAAAATGTGTTTGTTTTTTGATATTTTAAAAATATGGAATGAACAAAATGTTACCCTCAATTTTTTTTTAAATGTTACCTACTTTTATGAATGCGTGCATGGTTTAGAAACCATAACTAGGTTGTTTAGACATCACTTTCTTAAATTAGTCCATCTAAATGGAGCTATTCCAAAAAGATTTGTTTTTTTTTTCTGTTTTGTTTTGGAGAATAGAATTATGTCTGTTTATGATACTCATACTCGTTTTCACCATCAATCCCTAATTTTTATGTGACTGCTATCAAAACAAAATTCCTGTTATGTGTTACCATATGGGTCACTTAAAAATTAGGGATTGATGGTGAAAACGAGTATGACTGTACCTATACTTAATTATTGTAATAAAAGTTCAATAACATATATTTTTCTAGAGCTACCTACACAAATGAAAATACCCGAGATATTTTTATGTCTATGTTCTCAAACATTCTATTTAAAATTTTGGGACTAAATTAACTAATAATGTTATAACACTTTTATCCCTATTTTAAGATTCATTGACATGTTGAAACATTTTTATTTTCGTTCGTTCGTTCGTTTCAGCCAAATGACGTCCACTGCTGGACAAAGGCCTCCCCCAAGGTTTTCCACAATGAACGGTCCTGCGCTGCCCGCATCCAGGCTCTTCCCGCGACCTTTACCAGATCGTCGGTCCACCTAGTAGGAGGCCTGCCCACGCTACGTTTTCCAGCCCGAGTTTTTTATTTTAATAAAATAAAATATATATTATATGTTTTAGATTTTCGTTATCTAATAAAAAATATTTATTTTGTAGGAACTGGATAAGAACAAGAGTGTGGTGTCTTCTCCTCTATCAGCAGAAATCCTACTTGCTCTATTAACTTTAGGTACTACTGAACCTGCACATGATGAGTTACTTACGGCGCTTGGGATTCCTGATGATGCTTCGGTATGTTAATTAAATTAAATTTTATATAAATAATTTAATGCTGAAGTTGTAAAAAAAGATCAATTCGGAAGTAACATAAATTCCGAAATCTTTGTTGAACGGCTTCTATCCCCAGGGATATAGATAAAAAATGACGCAAAATCATTTGGATGAATAGTTCAGTTTTTACGCGCGATAATAACTTCACACGCCTACTTGACAATGGACAATGGCCTATTATAATGTTCATTGAATTTGTGTTGTATGCCATAGGTAGGTTCCTACCATTACCATAAAAATCACAAAGCTTCATGTAGTTCTGTTCGTGTTAATCCTATCTTCGAAAACGTGTGGTCACCGTATTCGTATGCACTCTCTGACTCCGACTCTGTTCTAAAAGTCGCACAGTGTTTTAAAATCACTTGGAAGCGGACATTTTTTGGTGAATAGATGACATGATTTAACAAGTAAATCTAAGTAAATTCCTCAAAGAAACCCGTGGTCTACCTTCAACAGCTTTCGAGAAAAAAAATTTTTAATTTGGCTTATTTTGTGTGTTTTAAAATACGTTTTTTTGTTTATCTGTTCTTTATTTGAAGTTGTAACACAATTGACTTAAGTGAGTAATAAAGCACACAATTTCCCTTTTTTTGAGCTATACATCATATTCTAAAGCTTTGTAGATCCGGAGAAATTATAAAAAAACTGATTTTTGGTTTTTAATTTTTTAAATTTAAGTTGTACGTTTTGAGCAATAACGAATTATTGCATGTTATAAAAGACCTTTTATTTTACTCACGAAAAAAAAATCAACGAATTTTGAGAACATACTTTAGAGAAATTTGCATTTGAAATTTCGTGTTAAGCAACGCCTTCCGAAAAACTCTTGGCAAAAACAAACTTTTGTCATTGCTAATACGCAATCTCATTTGTAGTGGAGAATCACAACTTTGATCTCCATTTGTCCATCCAGTGCAGACTGAAGTACGTAATAGAACAAATTAGTAACCCTAAACACTGCCTGCCTTGCACTAAATTGACCAGTACAATATCGCCAGACAATATTTTAATAGCAATGACGAAAGTTTGTGTTTGCCAAGAGCTTTTCAGAAGGCGTTGCAGAACACGAAATTTCAAATGCAAATTTCTCAAAAGTATGATCTCAAAATTCGGTGATTTTTTTTTCGTGAGTAAAATAAAAGGTCTTTAATAACATGCAATAATTCGTTATTGCTCAAAATGTACAACTTAAATTTAAAAAATTAAAAACCAAAAATCAGTTATTTTATAATTTCTCCGGATCTACAAAGCTTTAGAATATGATGTATAGCTCATAAAAAGGGAAATTGTGTGCTTTATTACTCACATAAGTCAATTGTGTTACAACTTCAACAAAAGAACAGATAAACAAAAAATCGTATTTTAACACACACAAAATAATCCAAATTAAAAAAAAAAATTCTCGAAAGCTGTTGAAGATAGACCACGGGTTTCTTTTAAGAATTTACTTAGATTTACTTGTTAAATCATGTCATCTATTCACCAAAAAATGTCCGCTTCCAAGTGATTTTAAAAGACTGTGAGTCGTACTATTCGCCAAAGAACATTCTGTAACCTTTTGTTTGCAATAATTTTAGTCTAACTGCAGCTCAATAAGCTTTATTATAAGGACTGGGTACCTACTTAGCTAGGGCTTCTGCTCTTAATTTTCGTACCTAAATCGCTGAACGAAGTTGTTTGAATGAGACCATATGAAAAGAACATAAATATCTACCAACTACTTAGGGGTCTACGGAATTATCAAAACGGGGTGAAGTTACGAAGACGAGCCTAAGTTTTACAATCGAAATATTTAGATTTTAGAGGATGAAAGTTTATAATGAAAAAAATCGATCCCATCAAAAACAATACTTGTCAAAAAAACCAAGTCTCGCAACTCAGTTGTTCTACGGTAAAAAGTTGTGAGATCCATGTAATACCAAGTCCAGGCCAGGAAANCTCAGTTGTTCTACGGTAAAAAGTTGTGAGATCCATGTAATACCAAGTCCAGGCCAGGAAATCTTTAACGTTTTACATAAATTATTGACTTGGCCATCGCACTAAATAATTTAATTTACACGTGTTTTCATGCGATGGCCGAGTCAATATATTTATGTAAAACGTTAAAGATTTCCTGGCCTGGACTTGGTATAACATGGATTTCACAACTTTTTACCGTAGAACAACTGAGTTGCGAGACTTGGTTTTTTTGACAAGTATTGTTTTTGATGGGATCGATTTTTTTCATTATAAACTTTCATCCTATATATATGTTACGGCTAAAGATAGTTGTGAACATAAACTTAAGATTAGCCGGCTAAACTTAAGTTTATCTTCGAGAAGCAGCTAAAGTTCGATACCATGTTAGTTTGCGTCGTGATATTCCATCTTTAACCGGCTAATGTGCACATTAGCCAAAACGAAACGGCTAAAAATGTATTCGATGGGCGCGCCAGGCCGGCGGAGGGCTTGAGGGGGCGGTGGGGAGACAACGCGCGCGCAGGTTTATTTTGTAATTTTAAATACCTACAGAAGATTCTGTAATGACCAAATGGTTCCATATTATTTGACTTTAATGATTAGGTAGATATTGTTTTAAGTAATTAATATTTTCTTATTGTAATAATTGTAATTTTGAATACCTACCTACATAGGTAGATAATAGTATGTGTAATGAATGAATAGTGATTATTTTTTAATTATAGTTTTCGTGTCAAAATAGTAAACTTTATTACATTGTTTCCTTTTCCATTTCCTTCTACATTTTTAGCCAAGGGCCTGCGGTTACACTTAAGTTTAGCCGGCTAAAGGTAGAAGAAACTAACATTAACACCTCGTCGAAGATAAACTTAAGTTTAGCCGGCTAATCTTAAGTTTATGTTCACGCCTATCTTTAGCCGTAACATATATACTATAATAGATAACTAATGTATGGTATTTGTTACATAGATAATGACTTAGCTCACTCCACTGCAGTCGCATTTTATCAGGTTGATAGGTAGGTACTTCTTTGTTTACTGCAATAAACTATTTTTCATAACATAATGCCTACCTAGTCATAGTGTAATTGGTACTATCGTTCTATTCATGAATAAATAAATAAAAAACTAAATAAATAGAATTTATTAATCTAAATAAGCTTAAAGTCTACGAACCGAATACGAACTAAGTACCTATTGTACCTCAAAATCTCAAATGACGCGCAAAACTTGATTGAAAACCTAACAAAAAATATCAAACTTCATTGGTCCTATAAAATAATACAAATAAATCAATCACTCGAACATGTGTCGATATTTCAACGTTTTTTAGGGTTCCGAATTTTCAGAATCCCTGACAATAAGGTCGACTGTTGTTCAATTTTCTATTTACCAACTTGTAGATCCGATCAGGCTTCTCGGTGGTGTCCGACAAGCTGAAATCCATAAAGGGCGTCACCTTGAACGTGGCCAACAAAGTGTACGTGATGGAGGGCGCTTACGACCTGCACTCAGAGCTGAAGCAAGATGCCATTAAGGTGTTCGACGCTGGCTTTGAGAAAGTCAACTTCGAGGAGTCTGCAGCCGCGGCTAGTCTTATCAACAAATGGGTATGTTTGTTTTAAAGTGTTAGTAGTTTGAAGTTCGCAAATTACTAAAAAATCCGTTAGCCTAAATGTGTGTCTAGTGCAAAATAGTACAAGTTTTACAAAACAATAAAACTTGTATTATTGAGCAGAGACGATGCACAGCATCTGGTGAGAGAGATGCGTCTACTTCCGGTGTAGTTTTTAACCATTTTATACCTTAAATGACGTCATTTCCGCAATAATTTAATAGGAATTGATTTGACTTACTTCCGTTTGCCGCCATTTTAGTCACCTGGGGGCGAGCTTGCTCGGAGTTCTTCATAGAGAGCTCACCAGGAGGCCTTCTTGGGATGCTGTGCATCGTCTCTGCTCAATAATACAAGTTTTATTGTTTTGTAAAACTTGTACTATTATTCGGCATGTGACGATGCACAGCATCTGGTGAGAGACTTGTTTATTAGCTCCTGGTGACTACTTACCAGTGGCGCTATGTGATGAAAGTTTTCGAGTTTCTGTAACAGAACTAGATTAGAACATGATTAATTTCAGGGTATTAACATGTTTTGTTCTAAATGCCCAGTGAGAGCAGCACTAATATCACAAAGTAGGAGGGCTTGTACTTTTGTATGTTTAAAATAAATAAACTGGAAAGCTACTGAACTGAGTTCAGAAATTCTTTCCTCATTAAAATGCAGATTGAGTGTGTATTGATATAATTTGCCCGTATGGCAGTAAGATTCATGCGAGTCATCAACATAAGTTTAGTCTTTCCACCGAATCCAGAGCAGCCAAATGTTTCTTGGCAGAGCCATCCCAGAGGTGGCAGCAGTATTCCATGCAAGGTCGGATCTGTGCTTTATAAAGCTGCAGCCTTTGCTTCTTGGAGAAGTACTGCCTTGCCCTCGAGAGGATACAAAGTTTTTTGGCAGCAGTTTTTGCTATGGATTCGATGTACTTGCCCAAAGTTCAACTTACTGGACATTTCAAGGCCCAAAAGTTGCAGTCGCTCGGTGATTTTAACAGGCACACCTCGGAATGTTGGAGCCATAAGGAATGGACTTCGTTTGGCGGAGAACAGACACGCCTGTGTTTTTGACGCGTTAAATTGAACCAGATTGGCATCGCCCCAGGTACCATCATCATCAACAACGGACTTCAGTCATCACATATTGCAAAGGTATACGCCTTCATTCAAGTGAAAAGACTTGCCACAATCTACGGGACGAAGTATCGGAGTCATTTGAAACAAAATGAAACAAAGAATAGGAAATCTAGGAATCTTGCATAATTATTTTTATAAAACAAACATAAACATTAAAAAAAACGACTCCAAAAAACCTGCACTAAAAAGTAGAAAATAATTACATTAATTTATTTATTAGGACAAATGTATACCACATGATTGATATTCTCGGAGTCGGTGCTAGCCGTTTGTTGCTCTTTAAGACTATCCTAGGTTTTCGACTTCGACGGAGTTGTGCTTAAGTGGTGGAGCCCCCCGAAAGGGGCATTTTTGCGGTTTTACGGTTATAAGGTGTAAAGGACTTGCAGTATCGAAAAAAAATGATCTTCATGACGATTGAAAGGCATTTAATCCTGCATTGAATAAGACCAAATTCATATATTTTGGACAAACCGTTCTTGTGCCTATTATCGACATGCCATGAAAAGGGCCACTTTAACCAGCATATTCCTGTCTCGCGAGTTGGATTCATCTATCCTTAATCATCCCAGCCGTTTCTTTACTACGGTTGCTGCACCCCTTCTAGGGAATGCAGAATCGGTTCTGGTTTGAGGAACCGGGTTTTTCGGGTCTGGTGGTCATAAGAACCGGGAGCCCCGGTTTTTTCGGTTCTTTCGGTTCCAAAAAAACAATATTTTGATTATGTTTTTTTTATTGAAATAACGCTTCTTTGAATAGACTAGGAATAATCAACAAACATGATTTACAATATTTTTCTATTTTTATTAAATTCTACTCCCAAAAATAATTAAAAAGTAAAATAATTAGTTTTCAATTGAGGTACCACAATCAGTCTTTTTCATCCAACTTATCGATATATTTGACTATTTATATATTGACTGTCAGATGCAAAGCAAAGGAGAAGGAGTGTTGCCAACTCTCACACAAAAATAGGACGTCCACTGCTGAACATAAACCTACCCCAATGCTTTCCATGTTGATCGATTGCTAGCGGCCTGCGTCCAGCGCTTCCCTGCTGCCTTTATGATGTCGTCGGTCCACCTTGTGGGTGGACGTTCCACGCTGCGTTTTCCGGTACGCGGCATCCATTCCAGGACCTTCCTGCCCCATCGGCCGTCAGTTCTGCGTCCGCGTCGGGCTATGTCCGCTGAATCCGCTGACATAGAAATGAGTATGAGAACTAAAGTCGCTATTTTAGTTCATTTACGGATCTCCTCATTTCTGATTCGATCTCTTAAAGAAACACCGAGCATAGCCCTCTCCATAGCACGCTGTGCAACTTTGAGCTTCTGTATAAGGCCTATAGTGAGAGGCCACGTTTCCGAGCCATAAGTCATCACTGGTAACACACATTGGTTGTAGACTTTCGTCCTCAGAAAGATGTTGCGTAGTTACCCGAACGCTGCCTAGCCGTGTTGGATTCGACGATTGACTCCTTTTTCGAAATTGGACCTACCTAGCTGGATCGTCAACAATCTCGAGGATTGAGCTCCCAACCGAAACTAGGTAGGGCGCAACATGGACATTGGACATAAGCTTTGTTTTGTCCATATTCATCCTCAGGCCTACCTGTTAGGAAACTCGATCAAGTTATACTCGTCAATCTTCTGTATAACCTGTCGCAGCGTAAGCGCAAACAAAAATATGCCAGTGATTTTAAAAAAATGTAAGATAAATGCTTAAAATATTTACATATCTCATAAAAAAAAACAAAATACAAAACCAATAAGTAATGCAAAACCCGAAAGTACCGAAAGAACCGGGTTTTGAATTTTTAAAACCCGGTTCTTAAGCTGTCGAAAAAACCCGGGTTTTCCCGGTTCTTTCGGTTCCGGGATTACCCGGGTACAAACCCTAGTTGTTTATCTCTAAAAAGTAATGAAATCTAGACAAAGTCGTGCCAAGTCTATGGTTCGTTACTGCGATTTCTTTATTATTTATAGTTAACATTTAACTATAGTCGTGAAAAAATAATCACACTCCCATGGACGTCGGGTCTCACAGACCCCTATCTAAAATTCTTCATAATTTCATATTTGAACCAATTTGAATTTATCAAAGAGTTAATATATATATCTAATAACTATTAATAAAGGATCTAGTAGTAAATTAATCAGTTTTAATCATTATTTAATTATTTTTTGGCAAATTTAAAAAACATAGACGTTTTTCAGTGTTAATTGACTAANTACAAGCACTTCATGTGCTGGAGGTGCTGAAGCACCTCGATATACCGATAGTCAATACGGCACCGCTGAAGAGACTGTAAGCACTGCCCAAGACCCGAACGAATCGAAGACCTTCTCATAGTCTACGAACGCCAAGCATAGTGGCAAGTTATACTCGTCAATCTTCTGTATAACCTGTCGCAGCGTAAGCGCAAACAAAAATATGCCAGAGATTTAAAAAAATGTAAGAAAAATGCTTAAAATATTTACATATCTTATAAAAAAAAACAAAATACAAAATCAATAAGTAGGTAATCTTTATTGGTAGCTAATCTGATATCTTTAGGTTCTCTATACGTTCGCAATGTTCTTGTTAAGACTCATGCATAATACCTATAACAGATTTTTAGATAAATATGCAAAACCCGAAAGTACCGAAAGAACCGGGTTTTGAATTTTTAAAACCCGGTTCTTAAGCTGTCGAAAAAACCCGGGTTTTCCCGGTTCTTTCGGTTCCGGGATTACCCGGGTACAAACCCTAATAGGAACGCACGGGTGCGGTTTGTATGTGAGCGCGCCAACACGTATGCGGTGCGCACGCTCACACTGACAAAATTTTGCGGTGATTAGCGGTGAAGTGCGCCGAATTTTGTCAGTGTGTGCGTGCGCGCCGCATACGTATATTGGCGTGCTCACATACAAACCGCGCTCGGTGCGTTTCTATGAAGATGACCTACTCATTTGTATTTACTCTGATACAGCTCCATGAGCAGGTGCGGATCCATTACCAAAATTGACATGTGACCTCACCTTTAAGGTGTGGCCATATTATCTTCACTGCTCATATGTTTTCGAACTCGTAATAATCAAATGGCGGCGCTCTATGTAGGCATGAAATAACTCATACTTGCATTTTGAGACAAAAGATTTTCCGCCTACATGCATTCTGTGTTTTTGTTAGATAAAAATATACACCACTAAATTTTTATCACCGAAAAAATTTTAACAGGTTATGTAGAAACGTGTGAAATATTTAAAGCAAAAGAAAAAGAAATGTTTTTCATAAAGTTAATTTTTTTATTAAATTTCCTTTAGTCCGTATTTTACGCGTCACAGCTTTGTCACTCCGCTGCTCGCTAGAGTAGTCGTACGCTCTCGCACGTTGCATCGATCTGTCTGTCTCGCTCACGCCTCGACAAAGCTTCCAGTGTTATTATTACATACTTAGCTAACTTAGACCATTCTGAATTCTAATAAGTGTTACATTATCGTACGTAAATAGTGCTAGTGACGCATGTGTCCATAAATTACCAATTTTCGGAGGAAATTTTGAGTCACTTTATTTAACTACTTTTTTTGCACAAATGGGATCAGTATCAATAACTCATTACCCAGAATTTTTTTTTTCGGTGATAAAAATTTAGTGGTGTATTATAGAAAATTAGGTATGCATAAAATGGTTTTCATTAGGTTATTTCGCCACCATTAAACTTGTGTTAAAGTTGACTGGGCACTCGGTGTAATTAATTAATTGGAAATTGGCATTTAGGTTTCAGGCATGTTATTATTGCACCTTAATGCTCTTCGCCATTAGGGAATTAAACTGTAGCGAAGTTTGGTTTATTGCAGTAACAGTCCTCAAGTCACCATGGCATCCCATAACGTTAGGGTGGACAATTTCTTTCAACAAAAGCAGACATCATACATAGACCCCCTATCCAAGTTTTACATTGGAGTAGCCAGTCTATTGGGGCTGAACCGCTTGCCCGTTATTCTGAACAAAACAAAATACATTGTTACGTCATTTGCAGTCCTGTATACTTTGCTATTATGTGCTTCAATAATCTACTTTATGTACACCAGAGCTGATTATCATAGGCTCGTAGTAATCATGAACTTCACCGAGTACATATTCTGCATCACTTTCAGTTTTATCACTTGGAAAAGGATCGAGTTGTACTATAATGAGATAAACAAATTCGATGTCGAAATAGGCTGCAGACCAAAACTGAATAACCTGGCGATTAGAAACTTGGTTACCGTAATGATCTACGCGGCATTGTTCATTGTTTGGTATCAGCTATCGATTTATAGTGGATATTTGGCTATAGGTATTCTTCGTTTTGCGCTGTTTAGAGCTGCACTATTCCGGGCATGTCCTAAGCCTCTTAAGCCCTCGACTTCGGCTTATTAATTACTTCGTTGAGTCAAAACTTTCCAATGGGAAATCTGTTAAACTTCCAAATATCGAGCAATTCAAGTCTTTTAAAAGGAAAAACATCAGAAATACAGATATAACGAAATTGATGGACCTTTACCATAACATCATGAACGCGTACGACTATTTGATCGATGCGATAAAATGGCAGGTGCCTATTTTCTACTTAATTTTGGAGTATTGAATTTATATGTCTGTAATTGTTTGTATATAAAAGCTTTATAAGGTATAGGCATCTAGTATTTTTTCTAAAACGAATTATTCAAATTGTTTCAGTTGCTGGTGATAATTAGTACAACGTTCATAACAACTTTGAATATTATTTATCATTTCGCTTCGGACATTATTGGTAAAGAGGTAAAAAATAAGTAAATATTCAGTTTGCAATCATTTACATTTTTATGAATAATGGCTTCACAAACAAAAAGTAGGTACTTCATGTTAACGATTCGTCAATACTTTTACTTTCGAGTATTATTAAAATGAACCTAATCGTTTAATATAGAATCATTAGTATCCAACGAGTATTTTTCCATGACTTCCTAATATTTTATTTAAACCGAAAACATTGCAGAGACCACTGAAAGACATACTGACTAACGTGTTCAGAACGACCGCAGAAATGATCGCTTTATTCTCGCCCTGCATGTTTGGAGATCAAGTGCACTGCGAGGTGCGACGGCTGAGGGAACTGCTCGCTTCTAGGCTGTACGAGAATAAGCTTGGTAAATACCTAATAAGTTTTTAAAGTTTTGCGTTCCATTTCAATTAAAATAGAAAAGCACGAGTCTCATCGCGACAATTCTATCGTTCGTTTCAGCCAAATGACGTCCCTGTTGGACAAAGGCCTCCAAGGATTTCCACGACCGGCCCTGCGCTGCCCGCTTTCTGGTACTTTCCGCGACATTTTTATATGAGTTACTTAAGTATGTAGGTACTCACGGCTTGATGTTTCGGCTGTGTTGCTACAGCTGCAGCTTGCTATCTAAAATTATTATAGCTTGTTATCTAATATTATATCATTCATTACTTATTTATGCATGATATTTGATTGTACCCAGTTTCGTAAGTCAAATAGAATGCTCACTAACTGTAGCTGCATACTATTCGTAGCTGTCAAATTCACACAGGACAAAAACTATATTTTTGGAGCCATTATAAACTAATATCAAGTGGATTGTTTCTTTATTTTTTAAAACACACAATGCGATAGCTCTTGACCATGTACCCATTTTCGTGCTCAGAATCCCGTACGCTTTGCACATGAATTCACGTGATATGCAAAAATGCAGATTTTACTTGTTATTTTTACTAAGCTTCGGAACCAGAGCGAACCAACGTCTTGAGGAAAAGATACCTACCGAATGGAGAACCTCTTGTCCATTTAATTATTTACATTCTTATTATGACTATGTTGATCGATTGGTAGCGGCCTTTGTCCAGCGCTTCCCTGCTACCTTTACGATGTCGTCGGTCCACCTTGTAGGTGGACGTCCGTCCCACGCTGCATTTTCCGGTACGCGGCCTCCATTCCAGAACCTTTTTGCCCTATCGGCCGTCAGTTCTGCGTACTATGTGCCCTGCCCATCAATCAACATAGAAAGCATTGGGGGAGGCCTATGTTCAGCAGTGGACGTCCTATGGCTGAAATGATGATGATGATGATGAATTATTATGACTTGTTTGGTCGAATTCACCCTTATAAAGGTTTATATATAAGGGTGGATTCGACAAAACAAGAGTCAATATTAATCTCAGAATAAATCGTCAGTTATTCGACATTTTGACATATTTTCCACACTGATACTGTCATTGTGCCAGTTATACAAGGAGTTATTCTCGGATAAAAGTTTGGTCGAACTCGAATAGGACCTTAGTAACATAATTGTAGTAGGTAGGTACTTACTTAGATATTTAGTTGCTTATTTTTGTTTTTCCAGATAAATCGGGCCGCAGCGCTGCGCGCGCGCTCCTCGCGCTGACCGAGGCGCAGGACCTGTCGTTCTCCCTGCTGCGGATGTTTCAAGTCGACATATCTCTGCCCTTCAAGTTCATCGGCTTGCTCGTCACATATCTTATCATTTTACTGCAATTCGAAAAAGTTATTAATCCCACACCTACGAGTACTTCAACAGAAATGACATTACATAATATCTATCCCTAAATTAAAATTTAACTGTCAATCACGTAAGTGTCTATACGATTGATATTAATTTATTGTAAGTCACTAATCAATTAGCGTAGTGTGTTTATTCCTTTGTAATTTCTTTAGGCTCTTTTATGTGTAGGTACCGATCGATAAGAGTTAGGTACTACAGAATATCTTAAGAGAAAATAATAAAATTGTCAGGTGCAAAATAAACACTTAATACAACTACATTAGATGTTTTAATACCTCGATGCGGATATTGAAATGTTAATAAATAATAATGTAATGACATATTGTGGTAAGACAGAATATTCCACATAATTCACATCCAAGCAATATTACTTACAAATGCGAAAGTAACTCTGTCCGTCTGTTTGTTACGTTTCCATGCCTCAATTGATTTTGTTGATTTTTTTATTGAGATAAATTGACTCTAGATAAAACGGTACATTTAGTTCATTCGAAAGTGTAAGATTCCATCTCAGAAGGTAGTCAATTCAAACGACAAATTATAGTTAAACAATTATATTTATTACAACACTCACGATAGACAAATCAAATAACAAATTATCATCACTAACCTTAGTGTTCACAGCAGGACGGCTCGTTCGAGAATGGCGGCGGGCCGAGTGCAACAGTCTGAAGTGAGCGCTTGGCTGTCAAGTCAAAGTGACATTTTCGGACAACCGTTAAAATAACGAATAACGTATCGAATAACGAAATAAATAATAAACTAAGAAAATAACGTTAAAGGAGCACTCGATAATACTAAACGATATACTATCTGTTACAATCGGCCATCCTCCACGAACGGGTCCCTGCGTTCGCTCTATTATATTATGATACAATGCATAGATTACTCTCAAATCGTGGTTTTAATTCATAAATAACGTAAAGAAATGCTAAAATTATCATAATTATAAATTCACTAAGTAGTCAACTTAATCAGGTAATTAACTGAATTATAGATTTACATACATGTCATTTTAGAGACTTATTTACCATCGTAATTTAAGTATTATGTTATGGGCATTATGGCAAAGTAATATTACGCAAGAAACAGTCCAAACTCATAATGCCAAATTATATTAATACTAGCTGACCCGGCGAACTTCGTACCGCCTTAGCGTAGAGATTTTCTTAATATTTTTTTCCGTAAGAACCATCCTTGGACTTCCACAAACATTTAAAAAAAAGAATTATCGAAATCGGTTCAGCCGTTCACACGTGATGCCGTGACAACGCGAAACGGGTTTCATTTTTATATATATAGATAGAAGTATCTAGTTAATATTTCATGGAAACACCAAGTAAAAAGGGAAGAAAAAAAAATGTTTAACAGAGAACGTTCAAACTAAATTAATGCTTTTATGATTTATATCCATTTGCATCCGGTTAGAAATACAATATTTTACAGTGAGAAGGTGTTCAACGTAGTTAAACAACTGTATTTTACTTCATGTGCAAAGTATTTTGAACATTTGGTTCAGCAATGATGTGAACGTAAAAATAAAATAAAAATAAATCTATTTGCATCGGATACGTAATGGTCGAAATCAAGAATAAAATGTTACAGGCTCAATCAATATGTGTTATTCTAATCACCTTGAGATATATTTTAGATATTTATCAATATTTTAATTACTAACCGTCAGTCTTGTGGGGTGGTAATTGCAAAACGTTTCGTTTTGAACTATCCCACTTCTGAGATGTAAGATTCCATCTCAGAAGGTAGTCAATTCAAACGACAAATTATAGTTAAACAATTATATTTATTACAACACTCACGATAGACAAATCAAATAACAAATTATCATCACTAACCTTAGTGTTCACAGCAGAGCCCCGATTACGGTAACTTTTAACGTCTACAATCCAGACGCGTTTCTGATTCTGCAATACGATTGGTCAAAACAGCTGACGTACGCTGTTGAACGACCAATCGTATCGCAGAATCGAGAAGCGTGTCTGGATTGTTGACGTTAAAAATTACCGTAATCGGGGCTCAGGTCGGCTCGTTCGAGAATGGCGGCGGGCCGAGAGCAACAGTCTGAAGTGAGCGCTTGGCTGTCAAGTCAAAGTGACATTTTCGGACAACCGTTAAAATAACGAATAACGTATCGAATAACGAAATAAATAATAAACTAAGAAAATAACGTTAAAGGAGCACTCGATAATACTAAACGATATACTATCTGTTACAAAAGTAAGGAATATGAAACTATATTTTTGCTTCAGCCAGAGAGACTGAATTCCACAGGGGCGAAGCTGTGGGCAAAAGCTAGTAGATACCTAATAAATTACATTAATATACAGAAGAAGCGGGAAGTAAATTGACTTATTCATATTAGAGTAGTAGGTAGTGACGCGCCAAGTATATGAATAGGTATTAGATATTTCTAATCTTTTTAATTTTGATTAAAATTTTAATGTACACTTAGCTTTTGTTTATCGAAATCGATGCAGTGTTACTTAACTTGTGACGTCGTTATTTTTAATTTAACGTGGTAATTCGCGAACCACTTGGAGTTTTAATAAAATATATGGAACAAAAAGAACACTCAATTTTATCATTTTATTCTCTTTGAAACCTTATACCTATTTGAAAATTTAATTATTTGTCATAAGAAAATGAACGATCGGGACATCACTAATGAAAAAATTGTTCATTACTTTTATTAGTGGAATTAACAGCTTTTCGGCCACTACAACGGAAGGTGCAGTCGTCGAAATGGCGGCCCCCAAAGTTCGCGTGAACACGTTCTTTAAAAAAAATCAGAAACCAGTCAGAGATACTCTCTCCAAGGTGTACATTGTAACTGCGAGCATACTGGGCCTCAACAGGTTGCCCGTCATACTCAATGAAGGAAGATTCATCATTACGACTTTAGCATTTATGCAAACTATACTTTTGGTTGCTGGTGTAGGTTATTACTCATATGTATTCGGCGATTTCGATTTATTTGTGGTTCAGGTGGTTTTCACAGAATATATGTTTAGCGTAATATTCAGTTTTATCATTTGGAAGAGAATGGATAGATATTATAACAAGTTAAACACATTCGACGCTGAAACAGGCTGCAGACCAAAAACAAACAACCAGTCTATTAAGAATATAATCGCTTTGTGGGTGTCTTTTGTGTCTTTCGTGACGATCAATTGGTCTTTTTTGTATTATAACGAGGAAATAAAACCAGGTGGAAATTATTACATACAAATGATGCCGAGTAATTTCCTTCATTGTTTGGAGTTGTACTACTACGGCCACCTCCTGAGCCTCCTAGTGCCTCGGCTGCGTCTCATCAATTATTTCGTGGAGTCAGCGCTGTCTAACGGAAAGTCTGCTAAGTGCCCGAATGTCGATGAGCTTACATCTGGTAAAATTGATAAAATGAAAAATACCGACATGATGAAATTAATGGACCTTTACCACCTTATGATAAAAGCTTATGATTTTTTACTTGACGCTATAAAATGGCAGGTGAATAAAATAATATTTCTAGAGTTATGCGAAACGAATTGTATACAAAGTTTCGAATAAATCTAGCGTATGAGTAATATATTATGATTTTCTTAATGACTTGCTGAAATGTAACACAACTTTGTTTCAGTTACTGGTTATTATAATAACAACATTTATTTCAACCCTGATCTGTTGTTACCAAGTTTCATTCTTACTTATGCGTAAAGAGGTAAAGTCAATTTTATATGTATGTTTCCACCATGTTTTAAGCAGACAAATGCTACATAAATAACATATTTAGAAGTGACTCTATGTTATTAAATTTTAAGTAAATAATTAAATGCGAAATGTTACAGAATCCAGCTGGGTTGGCAGTAAAATATATAACCTTCATGGCGATGGAGATGATTCCTCTGTTCTCGCCCTGCATGTTCGGAGACCGAGTCCACGGGGAGGTCAGGCGCTTGAGGGAGCTCCTGGCTTCTAGGCTCTATGAGAATAAGCTCGGTAAGTTACTGACTTAAACTTGCTGATAATACAGACAGTCATCGTTTGCTTATCTGATCTTGATAATGCGTGTAGATTTATAAAGGTTAGAGCAGAAAATTAAATTACTATTTTGTTTTATAAATTTTTGTTATGATGTTAGCAGATAGCTAACCTGCGAGCTTGCTGGTGTTTTTCAAATAACCCTGTAAAACAATAAATTATGTTTTCCGAGAATTACAATTATGTAGGTATTTAATTTCTGTACCGAATAGTAAGTACTTTGTGAATACATCCTAGAACTACGATGTCTGTTTTACTTGCGTAAGTTTTATTTCGTATTGCAAGTTGCAGAGTCACTTTTGAATGAGAATGAAGGTAGGACTGTTATTTTGGTCGTCGATACTTATCGATTGAAACTCCCGTGCTAATTGTAGCACGACGTTTTGAGGACCGCACAGGAATTGCGATTACTATCGACTGTCTACTCGTATGATCTGTTCCCAAACATTTGTTTTAAGGTCATGTGTAACATTTATTTAACATTTAATTTTTCGACAAAATTGAGGTTTTATTTTTATTTTATTTGTTTAACTACTTTGGATTGAAATCTTTTCATCGTCTTACGCCATCGTTACTTATGACTATTTATTGACTTTAGCTTTGTCTATGAAGTTAATAACTACGTTATTTTCCAGACAAAAAAGGTCGCAGCGCTGCGCGCGCGCTCCTCGCGCTGACCGAAGCGCGGGACCTGTCGTTTTCCCTGCTGCATATGGTTCAAATTGACATATCTTTGCCCTTCAAATTTATCGGTTTGCTCGTTACTTATCTCATTATTCTACTGCAATTTGAAAAAGTGATAAATCCCTCTACGGCTACTCAGGGCGCTTTAGTAACTTCGACCTTGAGTCCTTGATTTTAAAATGTTTATCGTAAACAAATTAATTTGCATTAAATAAAAGAGTGCGAGTGGAAATACCTGTGTTTCATTTATAAATAAATCTCGTTACAAGATACGGTACCACTAGGTAACATAAAATGTGAGTTGCATTAGGTATGATGACCCTAAAATGACTTGTAAGAATATCAGTTAAAATAATAAATTACTATGGAGGTAGGTACTGTTGAATATTTTTAAAATGAATGCATTAAATGTAGGGCCTTTGATCAAATATGTATTAGTAATCGATTGACGTCTGATACGAGTACAATTTGTGTTCCTGTGACAGTCTACTTTATTATTTACCTCGCCATAACAACGGTCAAATTAATATTATATTAATGCCTACATTACCTTATTGTTTGATTACTTATGTCATGTCAACGGTAACATTGTCGGGTGTTGTCTAATGCATTAGTACTAATTATTATTGTTTTACGACAAATTGTGTTTTGTTTGCATGCGTGGGCCGATCAAATAAATTGAGGGGCATCGATCAGCGCAAGTAGGTATCGGCTGCGACCCGATATCTGCGGGGATTGTCGAGATGATTTATTGTCGTCTGAATAATACAGTCGAGGCCATAAGCTACAAAGGCTGCTGTAAAATAAGTTAATTAAACTAATCCTTCTTAAAAAATGGCGCAGACATCAATCACTCAGTGTAGTCTTTATATTTTTTTTTCATTAGACAATTTTCATTAGAAGATGGAGTAGAGACTGATACTCTACTAAATATTTAATTGATTTTACAGCCCATCGAAAAATTCATTTGAACATAAGTGTGGAACCCATTTTCGATTAGTAGTTACTTAATCTTGATGAACTTGCATTCAAAGGTAAAGAGTAGCTAAAGGAAAGATCTTTCGCAATCTTGATCATTAGTAATTTTACTAAACTTATAAGCACTGTTATTTAGGCTTTGACTGTACACGTTCTGGGCTTGGGGCAGATAGACCACGCCTGACACATCGGCGGGCATATTTTAAGCGCGCGTTCAAAGTTGTAACGAGAAAACGCCACAAATAATACGCTACACTAGACGAATTGGTTTTCTGATTACATTTGGTTACAACATTTCCGATTTAGATTTTCATTCACTTGTTGAATACTGTCTTCCTATGAAACTACCACTTCGGGTCATCCTTTTGCCATAGACATAGGCACAAAGAAATCACGAATTTAATCAAATATTACCTATCTCATACAAACTGTAAACCTTCCTTTTTCTCACTGAAAGGGAAATTTCAAAGATCTTATGCGAAGAGAACTGAAACTACAAACTTCAGCTTTCTGCCTTTTCCGCAGTATTGACAGCACCACAACCAGGTAGGTATACTTACCGAGATCAAATAGCCCGTCAGTACAGACACACGTAGGTAATGTAAATTAGTATAACTTCATATTTAACCGACGAGTTATCAAATCCCAGTAGGAGAGTTAATTGCGGTACTTGCTAGTTGAATCGTCCAAGTATTTGCGCCCAGCTGTTGCAGAATCTCCCAACTCCAGGTAAGTCCCGTTGATTTTGGCCGGGTAACATGGTGTTGACTTAGCACTGGAACTTGATACAGTAACTATTAAACATGCTAAATGCGTTTAATCTAGCGTTATACCTACATCTTTACTTACAAAAGAAAAATATCACAAAATGGTGAAAGACATGTTATTATACAGGATGGAAACGATAGCCAAAGTGATCTCACTCGATTATTTCTAAACATGTACTCGAATATTAGTCTGGTAGATGGATAGAGAAATTATGTATACGAGGCCTCTAGGTTTCTCTACAGAGTTTAAAACAAAGTAGCTCCGTCTGTTTCAATGGCTAAATGTTACATACTACGCACGGATCTTTAAAGGGTTCTCATACAGTAATTGAAGAATAAGGTTACGGTGACTTATACATCGTACCAGGTCAGGTTGCTATACAAAATAGAGAGCGATGCGGTAATTGCGACGTTAGCGGCTTGCGCGGGATGCCCCAATTGAGAATGTTACTAGGTATGCAAAATCACTTGAAACCTATGTTACAGTTAAGCTTTTACATTTACAAATACATTAGTTTTTATTTCATTCAAAAATACCCAGTAGTTATGATTTTATAGGCATTCAAAGTTCGCTTAAATATTGAGTCCCGCCGACGGTCACGTGAGCCCGTGTGACGTACTATCGGGGACTCTTCCGCCTGACCACTTTGTAGAAATTTTAGCGTAAGCGCATCGCTCCGGTCACGTGCTCACCCCGTCTCTAATTGGTTACGCATTTTACTATATTTTTACTACGACCAATAAGAGACAATCAGGGCTTAGGTTGCAATACGAAATACCATTGTGCACTTTATTGTCATACGGTTAAGGTTTAAAACGAAATGTTTCTTTTTCTTCAATCTTTTTTAGTTTTAGGTTGAGTTGCACCACCTAACTTTGACCGTAACTATGACGGTAACCGGTGCTTTTTGTATGGAGTTTGACAGAATTTTGACGTTTGTTAAAGTTAAAGTAAGATGGTGCAACTCAGCCTTAGAATTTTAATAATAGAATTTGGTTACAAACAAATAGATATGTATTTTTTTTAATATTGTGTTTTTATACGAGGTCTGTCTGCTTTTTGCTTTGGCGATCTGTCGACATATTCTCTCCTTTGTTTTTTTGTGAAGTTTCGTGATCAATAACCGATTGATTTGTGTTGACCCGTGCTAGTAATTGGACTGTTTGATTGCCTTTTTATTGACCTCCGCTCGATTACTGAACCATGCCTCTCAAAATAATTCTTATATTTACTTACAAACTTATCTATACATTGTTAACTGTTTAAGTATTATTTAGTTTGAAGTTTAATTGTTATTGATTTAAGACCTTGTGTAAAGACACTTAATGTGCAATAAAAAACTAGAAAACGGATATAAACATACTTAAATAATTTTTTTTTGTAAATACAAACTTATTATACATATTAACACCCAGACCCATCACAGAAATTAAAATTGAACCAAACCCAAACTTGATGCGATTGTGTCGTTTTATTGCGAATTACCTTCCAGCTCCATCATTAGACCCCGATTACTATATAGAATTAAAATACTCATCAATACAAAACGAACGAGCCCAAACTCGATGCATTTAAGTCGTTTTATTATAGAGTTCCTATGGCCACCTTCCAGCTCCATCATCAGATCAGCTCCATGTCATCATAATATTGCATGGTCATCCAAATCACATGTGTTTGCGAAATTTCAGCTTAATCGGTTGCCTGGAAGTGGGTCTTAATTCAGTTTGCAAGATTCCACCCATACAAATATGAGCCAGTCGTTGTAATATGACGTCACGCGCATAAAATGGCGGGCCGGCCGCCGCCCGCACTTTTAAAATTGAATATCTTGGAAACTAATTGACGTATCGAAATAATTCTTTCACGTGTATTTTTTATTTTTAACAGAGAATACAGAAAGCTAAAAAACAAAATTAGTGAACATTCTTCATTGTCGGGGCCATACCCGCGCTCGTCCCGATTTACCCTTGACCGGGACGTCGCATGTCCTAGTTTTGACACAGGTGGGGTAAATAGGCGGGCGTTTCATATTTACCATGCATAACTGAAGAAGATTTAAATTGTAAGAAGGTTTTCTTTTTGAGAACAAACAACACCATATTTCCTCTTACAGGTACAAAATAAAGTCCCTTAAAGATGTCTTTTCAAGACAAATATTTAAATGGCAGAGAGTAAAAGCTCACAAATGAGCTGACTGAAAATACCTACTAAGACGTTACGTAGTTTTGTACATTTCATAAAACATTTCAGACATTATTCCTGCTCCGCTTTAGCTGACATTTTTCATCAACGATGAGTAATGTCTTAAGAACTGTTTTGTTCACGAAATTGAGAACAGCAAATTAAAAACGCAAATCGCTGTCATATTTCACAACAAGAATTAATATGACAACGATTTGCGGCTTAAGTGAGACTTGAGAATAAAATTAGTAAATTAATGTCCATTATGATGTCAGATGTAGGATTAATTTCTGTTTACAGTTTCACACGACTTAGACTCAACTAGAAAGAACTAATAAATTATGTACCTTTTATTTTCACGTAATCTTTTTATTTAAATTCCTGTGCTGTGTTGCTTGCATCTTAGTTTACGCACACCCTAAAATAAAAGGAAGATTTATGGGGATCAAGGTCGACTGTCAACTGTTAAAACAAATGCTTTTTTAAAAATGTGAATACTTAATCTAAGGTCACGTATGTAAGCGTTTGTGCATATTCTGTCACAAATAACAAAATGGATTTCCATTTAAATAAGTCCAAATCCTCGACCCCATTAAAACTCGGGCTAAAAATTATGTCACGTATAATTTGGGCAAGTAAACAGAGCCGCAGAATCCGCATCACGTCCATTATTTGTTAAGCATTTCGCATGCAAAGTTATGAAATTAAAAAGCCACCGGTGGCCAGTTGGCCACACTCTCGACCTACGTTAAACGGCATGAAGGTTTGCAAATGGAATGCAAATATGGTGCGTACATTGTCTGGTGTGGGACAAGACTATATCTATATCTATAAAAGCGAAAGATCACTAACTCACTCACTCACTCACTCATCACGAAATCTCAGAAACTCAAGGTGCTCACTAAGACGGGATTTTGCAAAATTTAACCCCTAAGGAGGTAAAATGGGATTCACCCGTACGAAGTCGCGGGCGGCCGCTGGTAGAAAATATAGTTATGCAAAATTATGACAGAGAAAATGCGGGGGTGTCAAGACAAAATTACTACATTATAGTCTGCCCCAATAGAATTGGGAATTTACGAGTAATTTAGGTTATATAAAAAAGTACTTACTGAAATAAAGTTTGTCTGTCACAGAGTTGACAACATAATTTATCTTCACGAATACAGAAGAAGACAATGACAGTTCAGGGCCAATGTTGTAGGTACTATAAATCATTCATTTAAAAGCTCCATCGCCCATAGA